ATGATAAATAATTCTCCTTTGCCTACCAAATCAAGTCCCAGACTTATTTAATTGGCTTTCCAGAGCTTTCATGATCTGGTCCATTCTACATGTTTAATATTGTTTGCTTTTGCTTCCTAACAAGCATCTTCCATTCTATTTTAGACAAAATTATTTGTTGCCATTAGCATAATTCTTAGTTCTTTCTGCCTTTTGGTTTTGTTTTCTTCCACATCCCTTCCGACACTTGAAATGCTTTCTTTCAATGTACTTGTACTAAATAGGATTGGGCCAGGAAACAGATGGCACATTGGAATGGGTAATTGAGAAAAGATTAATGAATAAGCTCTTTACATAGCTGTAGACAGAAGTAAGGAAAACCAACAAAGGATGGTGAAGCACCCCACAGATAAAGTAGTGGGAGAATGATTAACACATCTGTACCTGAAGGGGTAAGGGAATTAAGCAGATACTGGAATCTGGAAAGAACTGTAGCTATAGCTGTAGAAGAAAGCCACAAGGAAGAAGCTGTGACCCTTTTTTTTCTTTTTCTTTTTTAAAGAGATGAGGGTGTCAGGGTGGGATTTTTTTTTTTTAAGAGATGGCAGTGGGGGATGGGGGGTGGTTGCTGTGGCACAATCATCGCTCACTGCAGTTTTGAACTCCCAGGCTCAAGTGATCCTCCCGCTTCAGCTTCCTGAGTAGCTAGGACCAGAGGCATATACCATCATGCCTGGCTTTTTTTTTTTTTTTTTTTTTTTTTTTCATTGCCCATGCAAGTTTTGAACTCTTGGCTTCAAGCAATTCTCCAACCTTAGCCTCCCAAATCATTAGGATTAGCTGTGATCTTTAATAAAGATATAAAGCTATTGCTAATTTGTTGTCAGTAGGGAAGGAGCTGGTGAAATATCTCATTTCTTTCTCTTCCTAGCCTATTGATGTGCTAGTACCTCCCACAGATTTAACCTAATTAGGAGCCAGAAGGCAGAGAGTTTGCTGTACCCACAGAGATCAGCCACATAGAGCACAGAGCAGTGTGCAGAAAGGGTGGGAAGTGAATCAGGAGTGACAGATGGAGGATATCCAGTATACTACTCATTCTACAAGGCCCAGCTCAAGGTCTACCCACTTCATTCAAACTTTCGTTCATTACTTTGATATGTGCTAATTGTTCTCCTTATACCAGATGCCAGTTTGTTTGCCTGCTTTTCTAAGAACAGAGCCCTGTCTCTTGACTCACTTGGTTACTTTAGCAATCATTTTATGCAGTGTACATATCCAAAGGTGGTACGTGCACTAAGACCAATGAATTCTTTCTCCTGGATTTTGAATTTGGAGTTAGGATATACTTGGGTAAGTTTCTCCCTGGGTAGATAAGCTGTAACATGTAGAACTTTGAAGGTATTGGTAGCCCTGTTTTCTGCTGCTCCTCTTTCAGATTCCTTTTGGGTTTTCTCCTGTCTCAGTTGACTTTATTTCTCAGCCTTCTATACTGGCTTCTTCTCTAATCAATGAATTTTCCTTAGCATTAAGTCATTTGCCATCTCCTATCCTCTAATAACTCTCTAAGTAATAGTACCTGTTTACAGATTAAATACCATTTTAAAACTATAAAATAAATGTTTTTATTTTGGGAGAAATAGAAAATACTAATCATGTAATAAAGAAAATAAAAATTTCCTATAATCTCACCACTCTAATGAATCAACTTATTTCTACAAAAGAGTCAAAAGTTTGTTATTTATCTAGTTCTTAAGACCTTTAAAAAATGAAGTAGTCAGGATTTTTTAAAATTATAATTTAAGTTCTGTGGTGCATGTACAGATCATGCAGGTTTGTTACGTAGGAATACATGTGCTATGGTGGTTTGCTGCATCCATCCCCCCGTCATCTACATTAGGTATTTCTCCTAATGTTATCCCTCCTCAATCCCCCGACCCCCTGCTCTCCCTCCCCTACCCCCTGGCCCCCTGACAGGTCCCAGTATATGATGGTTCCCTCCCTGTGTCCATGTCTTCACATTGTTCAACACCCACTTATGAGTGAGAACATGTGGTGTTTGGTTTTCTGTTCTTGTGTCATTTTGCTGAGAATGATGGTTTCTAGCTTCATCCATGTTCCTACAAAGAACATGAACTCATTCTTGTGATTGCATAGTTTTCCATGGTGTATATGTGCCACATTTCCTTTATCCAGTCTATCATTGATGGGTATTTGGGTTGGTTCCAAGTCTTTGCTATTGTAAACAGTGCCACAATAAACATGCTTGCGCATGTGCCTTTATAATAGAATGATTTGTAATCCTTTGGGTATATACCCAGTAATGGGATAGATGGGTCAAATGGTATTTCTATTTTTAGATCCTTGAGGAATCACCACACTGTCTTCCACAATGGTTGAACTGATTTACACTCCCACCAACAGTGTAAAAGCATTCCTATTTCCCCACATCCTCTCCAGCATTTATTGTCTCCTGATTTTTTAATGATTGCAATTCTAAATGGCATGAGATGGTATCTCAATGTGGTTTTGATTTGCATTTCTCTAATGACCAATGATGATGAGCTTTTTTTCATATGTTTGTTGGCTGCATAAAGGTCTTCTTTTAAAAAATGTCTGTTCATATACCCAGTTTTTGATGGGGTTGTTTTTTTCTTGTAAATTTATTTAAATTCTTTGTAGATTCTGGATATTGCCCTTTGTCAGATGGGTAGATTGCAAAGATTTTTTCCCATTCTGTTGGTTACTGGCTCACTCTAATGATAGTTTCCTTTGCTATGCAGAAGCTCTTAAGTTTAATTAGATCTCATTTGTCTATTTTGGCTTTTGTTGCCATTGCTTTTGATGTTTTAGTCATGAAGTCCTTGCCTATGCCTATATCATGAATAGTTTTGCCTATGTTTTCTTCTAGGGTTTTTTATGGTGTTAGGTCTTGTGTTTAGATCTTTAATCCATCTGGAGTAAATTTTTGTATAAGGTGTAAGGAAGAGATCCAGTTTCAGCTTTCTGCATATGGCTAGCCAGTTTTCCCAACACCATTTATTAAATAGGGAATCCTTTCCCCACTGCTTGTTTTTGACAAGTTTGTCAAAAGATCAGATGGTTGTAGATGTGTGGCATTACTTCCGAGGCCTCTGTTTCTGTTCCATTTTTCTATATATCTGTTTTGGTACCAGTACCATGCTGTTTTGATTCCTGTAGCCTTGTAGTATAGTTTGAAGTCAGGTAGCATGATGCCTCCAGCTTTTTTTTTTGTTGTTGTTGTTGTTGTTTCTTAGGATTATCTTGGCTATGCAGGCTCTTTTTTGGTTCCATATGAAGTTTAAGGTGGTTTTTTCCAATTCTGTGAAGAAAGTCAGTGGTAGCTTGATGGGATATCATTGAATCTATAAATTACTTTGGGCAGTATGGCCATTTTTGTGATATTGATTCTTCCTATCCATGAGCATGGAATGTTTTTCCATTTGATTGTAGTCAGGATTTTTAATTGCACACTGATTTAATCAGCAAAGGAATTCATGGGAAGGGTATTGGTCATCTCAGACTTGAAAATTGTTTACAAACAAGGGAGACTATGCAGTATCCAAGACCACGGCATAAAACCAGCTTCCACTCCTAAATGTTGTATACCACAGCTTATACCATCATTCCTGACTATAGTGAATGCTGCTACTGCTGCTGCTGCAGTGCTATCCCTGTCACCCATGGAAGCTTAAAGTTACTATACTGTCTACCAATAGATGAGTTTGCAATAGTCCTTGTTTTTTGTGATAACTAATCCAATATTCAAGACAGGTGCATCTGATTAGCAGAGCCTGACCTTGTGCTTATAAAGCTGGTACCTGGCATCTTTGCTTCTCTGGTAGATAGTGGGCTCTTATATTGTAGAAAAACTGCCACAGCCTACCAGAGAAGCAAAGATGCCACGTACTAACTTTATTAAGGGAGTTTAGATACTGTGTAGCCAAGACCAAAAATCAGATTCTTGAGTATTTAATATGATCAATATACACAGAAGGACAGCACAAACAATTGTACACCAATTCAAAAGTTGATATTTCAGGATTTTAATGTGTTTCATTGGTATCTGTGAAACTCAGTGAACATATAACTTCACAAATGAAGACTGCTTTTACATTCTTCAATTCTATTCTCTACAACACTGCTAGTTATTTTTCTAAAATGCAGATCTTGTTATGTCATTCTTCTACTCAAAATCCTTCAGTGGTTAATTCCCATTTTTAAAAATAGAATAGCATTCAAACTCTTTAGCGTGACCTACAAGTCCTTCTCAATATTTGAATCCTGCCAAATTTCTAGCAACTACCAATATTCTACTGTCCCCTGCAATAACACATTAGCTCCAGTCATATCTTATTGGTTCTGTTTCCCTGACAAATACCATGCTCTTTCATGTTTTTGTGGCTTTGTGGATGTAGAACCTTTTGATTGAAATACCTATACCCTTTGTTGTCTTTTTTTGTAAATTTATCTTTAAAGATTCCGTTCAAATACCACCTTTGCATGTAATGCCTTGTTAATACCCTCAGTTTCCCTCCTTATATTTCTTATATATTCCCCTAACATAGCACTCATTACATTGTATTGTAATTATTTTTTACATAATTATTATTATTAGAGCCTAATACATTTGGGAATTGAGATTTCCTTATGATTTTATCTCTGAAGCTGTTTGTTGAATAAATAATGAAAACACTGTACTTCTGGTTAGTTGATTTTGTTAGTACACTCCTTTTAAGATCCAAGGTCATGGAGTCTATCTCTGTATGATTGATTAACTTTGCCTGATCCACAACCACAGATTATATTCCCACCTTGGCTAATTTTGCAAGGGAATTAGGGAAAATAGACTTTAATGAACCAATAGTATTATCTTGACATATGAAATACAACAAATTATAATTACAGGCTTAAGGATGAACTTTGAAACTGTCAGGAAAATACCTTGTTTTAGTGAAATATGTGTACTGAATTTTCTGTTTGATATGTTTCTTATTAAGGAACTAAAAAAAGTAGCCTCAGACTTGATAAAGTCGAAAGTCACACGTCAGTACAAGATGGGAGAAGAAAACATCAATCTAACAGTTAAAGAACAAAAATTTCAGGAACTTCAAGAAAGACTCAACATGGTATTTTATTAAGTGTATTTGTTTATAAAATTAGTATTTTCAGTAAAACTTATGAGAATTTCAGGATTGTAACACAAAAATATTCCTTTTTTGCAAAGTCAATATGCATAAAGGTATTATGAATCTTTTCTTTTTATTAAATAATTTTTGCTGTGGACTTTAGAGACACTAACATTTGGCTAGAACTATTTTATTTCTACTTGAATATGGTTTTGAGTAATCTTGTGGTACAGTGGTGTCTCAAATGAGAAATTTTGTAGTTTTTAACATTTACAAGTTTGCACCAACCTACATTGGGTATATAATATCTTCTTCAGTTCACTGAAGTCACTGTTTCAACCACAAACAAATGTGGGTATTTTGGGCCAGGTGCAGTGGCTCACACCTGTAGTCCCAGTACTTTGGGAGGCCGAGGTGGGTGGATCACTTGAAATCAGGAGTTCAAGACCAGCTTGGCCAACATGGTGAAACTCTGCCTCTACTGAAAATACAAAAATTACCTGGGCATGGTGGTGGGCATCTGTAAAGCCAGCTACTCGGGAGGCTGAGGCATGAGAATTGGCTTGAACCTGGGAGGCAGAGATTGTAGTGAGCCAAGATCACACCACTGCACTCCAGACTGGGTGATAGAGCAAGGCTCAGTCTCAAAAACAAAAACAAAAACAAATGTGGGTACTCTGGGGGTAGTAATAGGTCATAACACTCCAATATTTGTTTAATACTGAATTGAATGTAGAATTTGCTAAATTTTATATCATAACGTGAAGACTATTCAAATTTTAAAGCAATTGGAATTAAACGAGAAGATTAATGAAGAGATTGCCCATATTCAAGAAGAAAAACAGGTAAGCAATTTTAAGATATTTGGAATCCAGTAAATATTCTAAAAATCAGATAAAATGTGAAAAATTAATTGGAATCATACATAGCAGGCGCTCCGTGAATGTGTATTAAATGTACACATGTATACTTTTTAAAATCAGTCTTAATATACATGTTTAAAAAACCTTAGTTTTTTTCCGTGTTACAGTAGAGCAGTGGTACCCTAGCAGATAGTTACTGAAGTTTATTTATGTGTAGTACATACTTTTTCCGGACATTGTACTGTCATTTGAATCTATTTGATGCTTATAATTATTCCATTTCTAAAAAGATGTGTGAAAGAATATTCTTCCTGTTTCTTTTTTCTCTTCTACTTTTCTTCCATTTGACTCTGAATGTATACCATGACATCCTAGCCCATTATGACATTTTATAATATTATACCTCATATGACATTTTAGTAGTGATATATTTACTGTTGTAGGGGAGTGGTGGCAAGCCAGCAAATGTTTATTTTGGTTTTGAATTCTTCACATGTGTCTTAGAAGTCACAATTTATTCCAAAAAGACATTGTTAATTATTTGAGGGACTCTTGGAAATAATGTAATAGAAATTATTTTAGATACCATTAGAAGTGCCATTAGTTTAATATAAAGTGTTGAAATCAAACTATAAATACAATGAGTTAGGAAACTGGAAAATGTATGTGAAGAATTAGCTTAGAAACATACCTACTATCTTAAAACTTTTAAATTGATATATCATATTTGTGTATTTTCAAAGGATATCATCATTTCTTTCCAACATATGCAGCAGTTACTTCAGCAACAAATTCAAGCTAATACTGAAATGGAGGCAAAATTGAAGGAGCTAAAAGAAGATAATCAGGTTATATTTATCAATCTCTCTATATATGTTTTAGTATATATTCATCCAATTAAATTCCCCTGTTTAGTTCATTCTTCTGTCTAGTTTTATGGAGATCATTTTGAATTCTAAGGGTAAGATATTGATTTCCTTCATCAACTTGTTTTCAGTATCTAAAGTAATGAACATATATTATTCAACTTTATGTCACTAGTGAAATGTTAAATTTTATCAAGTATCTGACTTCATTTTACAAATGAAAAATCCACCCTGTTACAACAGAATGAATAGGATTTTTTTTTATATACTAGAATTCTGGTCACTATCCAACACTGAAAATAAAAGGTGAAAATGTCAACCGCAGTTTAAGAGACATTCAGCCTGCTCTCAGAAGTTTGGGGTAGATCTCTCTTCACAGTAATATGGTAAAATTGGCACTGTTACCACAGCAATCACCTCATCATCCTCTTTCTAATATATATAAGAAAATGATTGGGGAGGAGAAGACTTTGTTGGCCATTGATAATTTGGGAGTGCAGGGTTCAAAAAGAAACGCCTTTTCTCTTACATCCGCAGCAGAGGTGGGTGCATTTCCCCTTATGAAGCTAAGTGAAGAAATGTACAAGAAAATCTCTTGTAGGGATTGAGATACAAGAAGGGGAGACTGCCATTTGTTCCCTGGTTAGATGCTTGAAATGCTTTAGAAAGTTGAAGGTCCACTGTAGTTTTGCCAGTAGAGTAAAATGTAATTAAGTTCATGTGGAAGAAGTTGGCATTTGTTTGTTTGTTTCTTTTTTTTTTTTTCTTTTGACATGGAACCTTGCTCTGTTGCCCAGGCTGGAGTGCAGTGGCATGATCTCGGCTCACTACAACCTCTGCCTCCTGGGTTCAAGCGATTCTCCTGCCTCACCCTCCTGAGTAGCTGGGATTACAGGTGCCCACCACCACACCCAGCTAGGCATATGTTTCTTGAATTTGGAAAGTTTACCAAGACATATCAACTGATGTCCAGTTTGGTCTATAAGTTTCAAAAAAGAAAGTTTTTGGAGTAATCTTGCCAATGGGGCTTGAAGTATATTATTCTTCAAAAACCTTAGTGGTTCTTTGGCTTCACATGATGGAACCATGGAGGTTAGTGGAGGAGCAGGAACTGCCCTCTATGCCACTGGGCTAAGAGATGGGATGTCCAATTCAGAAAAGGGGTTGGGGATATGTTCTAATGGGGTGGCCAGTAGCAGACATTTCTATCCTTATGAAGGGGTTCTTGGTAGCAAAGGAGACAGGGTAAAGCTGAACATTTCCCATGAAAACTACAATTACCTCCCACATAAAAACTACCATCAGTCGAGGCCAGGGCCAGTTTCATGAGTATGTGACCAGTGCACTTGCATCATAGGGACCCACACTCAGAAGGGCCTCTTGCTTCAGGTTTAATGTTTCATGGTCAGTGTCTTAAAGATTTTATTTTGAGTTTACATTTTGTAAATGAAGCCTAATGGAACAATGGAGCATGTGCCAGGGGCTTGGATCCTCAGCTCAGGTATCGTCTTGTCTCCAGTATCTCCCAGGACTGGTTCTTGGCTTTTGGCTCCTCCACCCTCTGGGGACCTAGGTCCAGCTTTGCCTTCTACTCCCTGTTCCTGTCCTGCCACTGGTGCAGTTTGACTGGCTCACATTCACAGGGACCTTTACTCTTAGGTTGGGGTGTAGGTGCAGGCAAGGAGGGCCTATGTTGGGTGCATATGCCCCACTGTATTTTGGGGTGAGGCATAACAACAGTTGTCTTTGTTGCATGTTGGCAGTGCCTTAAAATGTTAGGCAGGTGACTTGGGAGTCTGCGGGGAGGATGAGTCCCTAGTCCAGGTACTGAGTGCATACCTCCTGGCAGTTGCAGTTTCCTCAGAGTCACCCATTTGCCACGGGTTGTGGTGAAGGGACCATGGGAAGGGAATATTGACTTCCCCACCCATGTCCAGGACGTAGTACATGGATCTAGCAGCTGACAGGTCAGGGAACCTGGTAGTTGGCAGCTCTCGCTTGTGCTGAGTTGTGTGATGAGGCCCTTAGGCACCTATGAGGGTCTACATTTGCCTGGCGAGTATCCCCAAGCCTAGAGGATCATGATATTAAATAGAAAATAAAAAGCACCATGACAAATTGAAAGAGAGAGAGGGGCTGCAAAGAAGAGAAAAAGTTTTATATTTTAGTACCGTTATCTAGTCCTAAAAAGTACTATTGAGTAGCACTTCTTCCCCTGTGTTTTTCTTACCAGGCCCAACAAATTATGTAGAGTCTGTCATTGAATGGAACCGAATTGAGCCTGAGCAATGCAACATTTATTAATATCTCCTCACCATTGACGTTCTATGGCTTGTCATGTAACAAAAGTTCTGCCTTCCTTATTTCTCTTATGTGTCCCAAATACTATAGGAGAGGGAGTGAGAGGTGGTATCCTAGCGTCAGACCTCTCCCTTCTTTTAATCCCTTCACCTATTCCAATAAACGACTAGTAAAAAAAAAGTCTCTGAAAGTCCAGCTATTAGCAAGTCCCTACCTCCCATCTCCCCTGCCCACTCTATAGTTAGATAACTGGAACTATTTCTCCAATATGTTGAAACTTCTCCCAAGCAACATACGATATAATTTAACTAGGTTGTTTATGAATAGCTGTTAACAAGAGCATCTTCTAATCCAAATAAATGAGTTGAGAGTTTTAGGGCAAACAAAAGATCAAAGATTATCTAATCCAACCGTTTCATTTAATGAAAAGAGAGACCCAGGAAATATAGGCAGTGTAGTTCAAAGCCTCATAATTAGCAGCAAAATTAGGATTAAATATATTGTGATTTGAATCCAGCACTATTTCTATAACATACTGTTATTTTTCCTAGATCTGTGAGAGCTTATCTAGCAATTTTGTTAGATCAGTTATACTAAGATCTTAATTCTTAACTTGTCCCTTCGTGAGCTCTGAGTCCAATACTTGCATACTGCTGAATTTTACAGAGCCTATATATAGTTATGTGTTTGTCTGAGTTAATGGTAACTCTAAATATAACTTCAGGATCTTTTGACTATGACTGCCAATCATTAAATAATCAAATGTCTCTTTTCCCCTCAAATGCCTTTCTCTTTGACTGCCGCAAGTATTACCTGAGCCTTGATAGTACATAGAGAAACTAGATTTTATGCACTTAAATTTTAAAGTATTGTCAAAAACAGGATAGAATTGTCAGGTTTTTATTTTGATAATAAAGATGATTAAGAATGCAAACAAACAATCTATTATTACTATCATTGTATGAAAGAGAACATTTTAACATCAAACATATATTAAAGACATAATCTCAGGATAAAGGATAGTCCTTTATAAGAAAAGGCATTTAATGACCTTATATTGACATTTTTTTTTTTGCTGTGGACTAGTGAATATTTTGTCATGGATCAGTACTTGTCTGCAGACTGGTGTCTGAGAACCACTGAAATATAGCATAACAAAATATTAATGTTGAACTGTTGCTGAGGATTATGCTGAGATATCTCAAGTGTTTTCTTGAGCATTCTCATTCTACCTATACTAAAAGGGATCATTACTCTTGATAATGGCCAACTGTTTTTCAGTGCTCTGCAATCATGCTGTCATCTGTCTTACTTGTCTAGTAGTAAAATTTAGAGCATAGAAAGCTAAATTCTCATAATAGGAAATATTTTATAGTGTGATTTAATTATAGTTTAGTCCAGTAAGCATAGTTATGTTCATATAGTCATAGTATTAACAAGAATAATTTACTTAGTTTTTTCTGAAGTTATATTAATATAGTATTACTAGAATAATTTACTTAGTTTTTGGAAGATTAAAGTATTAGCAAATGGTCTCATTTTGAACTTTCACAATATCTTTTTTTTTTTTTCCAGAGATGGTTTTCAAAAGAGAGAGGCATTTGGATTATCTAAGTTATTGGAGTCATAGTCAAAAGACCCTAGCATTATGTTTATAGTCACCATTAACTCAGAGAAACACATAATTATATATTTATGAATACCATAGGCTCTGTAGAATTCAACAGTACTTAAGTACTGGACTTAGAGCTCATGAAGGGACAAGTTAAAGAGTTGTGGTCTTAATAACAAATTGCTAGATCAACTGTCTTTGTTATCCAGATGAAAAAATACCCCAGATAATTTCCTAATAGAATATACTATACTTAATCTTAGCCAAAAAGCTAAGAAGGAATCCCCGATAGAATATATATATATATATAAACTCCATGGCCTGGTGTGGTGGCTCACACCTGTAATTCCAGCACTTTGGGAGGCCAAGGCGGGCAGATCACCTGAGCTCAGGAGTTTGAGACCAGCTGACCAACATGGTGAAACCCTATCTCTACTAAAAATACAAAATTAGCCTGGCATGATGGCGCATGCTTGTAATCCCAGCTACTCGGGAGGCTGAGGCAGGAGAATTGCTTGAACCTGGGAGGCAGAGGTTGCAGTGAGCCAAGATCACATCATTGCACTCCAGCTTGGGCAACAAGAGTGAAACTCTGTCTAAAAAAAGAAAAAAGAATATAAACTCCATAAGGACAGCAACATTTCCATTGATGTAGTGTAGAAACCTAAAATGGTCCCTGGCACATCATAGTAGCTCATTAAATATTCTTAATGAAAAAATGAACAGTGAATAAACTTATAGTCTTTCCAAGTTTAGATATTACCTGGTCAGGACTTCTAGTTAAACATGTTTAGCCCTACATTACATGTTTTTGAAACTGCAATAAAATGACACTAAAATATCCATAAGGACAAGGAAATGGGGAGGAAACAATAGAAGTACTAAAAAGTACTAAAAAATACCAACCAGATGGACATTTGGCAATTTACTTATCACAAGAGAAGTAGAAACTAAGTCAAAGATGCAGAAATGGTCAGGAATTGCAAGTATCATGTGCCTCTAGAAGTACAGTATGCAACTGAAGCCAAAAACTAGATCTGTGTAAGAAGCCATTGCAACTCCAGTTTCT